TGAACAACATCATATCGACAAATACATACAGTACATATGTGGCCACGCAAGCCAACAATCAAAGACGCGTTACAAGTGGTTCATATCTTATGACCTAGCAGGCGGGTCCTCTTGTCAGTCTGCGGCGTCCAACGGCAACGGTAGTAGCGATCAGCAGGTGAGAGCAGTGGGTGCTAGCAGCGACGTGAACTGTTAGCCACCGTGGAACTGTGTCTGCCTCTCTGTCCAAAGTGTCTGGTATTTATGCATCTGGAAGAATGCATGGCCCGAGTGTCCTCAAGGCCTTGTTGCGTGCGGATGGAGCAATCCTGTCCTTCTCCAGATTTTCATGGATAACTAAAGGTGAGATATTTTTTTCTCTAGCGTGAGAACGACGGTCGGAGTCTTTGTAGATATGGTGGAGGCGTCGATGGGAGTTTTTCGGTAGCCTCATCGGGTAGCCTATCGGTACTAAAATGTCATAGTGCCGCCACCGCTGATGCCACGTGCACTCCACGTGTTCGACTCCCAATGCTGAAGGTATCGCACAGATATAGCCCTGGTTGGGTCGTAAACCTCTGTGCGACACCGGAGTTAGGGGTCCCGCGGTGTCACTCAATTATTTCTTTTCTTCTGTCATAGCACGCGCGCGTGCCGCGCGCGCCACGCCAGCCCTGCGGCAACGGTTTGTCATAAGTCGTCTCCTTGGGCCGTGTGGGAATCGCGGTTAATTCGATTCATGTTCTCATCGGCGGTGTTCGTTGTTTGTTCTTCGATGGGTTGGCACGCGACATCAAGATGTGATGTGTTTTTTCTCGGCCTTGTTTTTAGGTGATTCCTTTTCTCTTCTTTTGTTGTGTCACACGCGCGCCACGCGTGAACGCGTGCGGCTTGTCATAAGATTCGATGCAGTGTAGACGTCCTGCTGGGTGGTTCCAGTGATACGGGTTTTTATAACAACTTTCACTTGTTACTTTAAACTGCTATTTGCATATATGAGTGTGCGACCCGTGTCGCGCATGGCTCATGTTACATTGAACTATTTTTACTAAAATAACTATGACGTTATGCTACGTTACGCGACCCGTGTCACCTGTTTTTATACTAGGTTAATTAATTTGATATCTACGTCACTACACTGTTGGTTGTTTCTATAATTGTTGCAGTTGCCGTGACATGCAGAGAGGAAAGCAGCATTAGAGGATTTTTCTTCGGCACAGATTTTGGTGGGACATTGATGGGCACATCTTTAGGCATGACATCGATGCGGCAGTCAGTACAACATTTTGGCGAGGAGGAGAAAACTATCTTCATTACGTTAATGACTTCAATACTTCTGCGACGACTTCAGCGACGCAGTACTTTAGCGAGAATTCAACGGACAAATTCAGCAGAGTCAACGACTTCAAATTTGTGAGAACAATATCTGCGATAAAGATAAATGTGCTAGCAGATTATCAGTACTGGTGAACGTTTGGTATAAATCATTGGACATTATCGAAGAAGACTAAATGCCACATCACATCTGACATTATTGTTGTCTACAATCAATTATTGCATTGGCATCAGAAGCAGCAGCGCAGAGGATTGACATCAAGACCAGTGGAGGACATCGTAACATCGTCGAGGGATCAAGATTATTGTATTGTATTTTATATTATATTGTATTTATTCATTGTGTTATTTATATGCATTGTGCTGTGTTTTGTATTTCAGGATATCGTATTGTATTGTAGTGTGTTTATGGCATTTAGTATTTCTGGTGTTCTGTATTTCAGGTTATGCATTGTTGGTATTTTATTGAGTTGATGTGTTGCATTGTTTGTTGTTGTTTGTGTATATTTGTTTCAGGGTTTCAAGGAGTTGTATGGCTTGAACGGATGGTTTTATTTGGCAATTCGTGCCAAGTATGGAATTATATCAGAGTGGTCAGTGAGATTTTGCTGGCGGCAGTGTTAAAGCCATAGTTATTGTAATACCATGGTACTAGTTTTGGTACCATAGGTAATAAGGTTTATGTGAAATTTTGTAAACATTTTTTTTATTATGTGGGGAGTGGGAGTGTTCAATGAAAGAGTTATTGTATTAGTATGGTCGACGGTGCGACGGACGACGGACGGAACTTAATTTTGATGTTAAGAAGATATGGTGTGTGAGTGTGTGTGTGTGTGTGTGTGTGTGTGTGTATCTGTGGGTGTGGGTGTGTGTTAGATAAATGGGGGTTTGGAGGTAGTTAAAGAGGAAATTTAGATCAGCGGGGCGCTGAATCGATGAGGGATCATCGTTTTGAAGAGGGGAGGTAAATGTAACATGTGGTGTGCAGATGTACATTAGTAAGATTAGGTTGGGTAGAGTCAGGTAGTTAGCATGTAGTTTATAACTAGGTTGAGTGAGCGAGTAGACAAGCGTGTTTAGGTTAGGCAGATTCACGGCTGATTCTGAAATAGGGGTGCAGATCGAGTGGAGAGATGTAGGAGTCGGGAGTCTGGTTGTGACCATGGAAGTGAGCACACGCGCTTATGCGCGGGTGCGCATTTTTTGTGTCTTTGTGGGGGTTGGACTGGAGGACAATACGGGAACGGACGTGTACTGGAAGCCTGTTGAATTTTGTAAACAATATATATCTTTTAGTGAACACAAATTCTATACGCTAATTGATTATTTACTCTAAATTTTTTTAACCAACACTGGTGTAGCAAACCTACGTTACAGTACGTTTAGCGATAATCGATAAAAACAATCTTTGCGCACTCGCCGAGCCATTGTCAACGCGTAACTCGTCATCTGTTGCATATATACGGTTTCCACGCCGATGCTGTCATCTCCTAAAAAAACTATTATATGTCTTGTATGTACATTGTCGATTGGCTCTCCACGACAAAGATGTCTTCCCACTCACATTTTTGTAACAAACCACTGTAAAAACGTAAGTAAATAACTCACTACACTTGAACTAAACGTTAGCTTTGAAAATAAAACTGTAAAAATAAGTAGCAAGCCTATATTTGCTCAACGAAAACACAACTCAAAAATCGCTTTTCGTCGTGGTTCTGTGTAATGGCGGTTCTGTGCAGAAGCTCATTTATTGATGACGACGTAATACGTCACAACATCGCCGCAGAGCGGCAAAAGTAAACGCTGTTTGAAACATTCCACCCGACACTTTCACGTTGTAGTCTAAAAGCTTTGAATGAACGTATTCCCGAGCAATTCTTTTACCTATCACACATATGTAGGCAAATACAAACGTACATTTTTGACTGATTTTATGTTTGTCGCTTGAAATTTCGTGGGAAGGCACCTTTAAAGGCATGCGCGCGCTACCATACGAAGCGCACGTACAACTCACAAATGCACGAAAGTCAATAGAAGCAAGTTTGCCGTAGAACAATAAGTAGTAAGCAATAAGTAGTTACAATAAGTAGTAAACAATAAGTAGTAAACAATAAGTAGTAAACAATAAGTACTACACAATAAGTAGTTACAATAAGTAGTAAACAATAAGTAGTAAACAATAAATACTACACAATAAGTAGTTACAATAAGTAGTAAACATTAAGTAGTAAACAGTAAGTACTACACAATAAGTAGTTACAACAAGTAGTAAACATTAAGTAGTAAACAAGTTAAGCTGATCGTATATCTTAGTGGGGAGGTTCGGGCCTCCAATGACTACTAGTTTATCGGATTTGTTTAGTTAGTAGTACAGTGTAGCCCCGTTATAACGCGATGGTTGGGGTCCATAAACTGTCATCGCAAAAAAGTGGGGTCGCACTAATGTAACAGTGCCCAGTTAATATGTAGAGTAGTAAAGTAGTTAATTAGAAAGTGTTCATGGTAAATTATATATGTGACTAGCAACGAGCCAACACCCAGGATGTCAGTTCTAACTGCGTAGACACACACCCGGACCTGTGAAAGCAGAATTCTTAGAATACAGGATGTGCGCATTTGTAACCTAGTACACGTGAGTGGAACATGATTTGTTAAATGTCAACTCGATCTTAGGCACGTGTTAACTCGATCTTAGGTGAGAACCTACACACGTGTAAATCGCATGGTCCCACACGTGCGTAGAGTAAGATGACGTCACCCGGCTAATTATATATATACGACACACCTTGGAAAAAAGACTTCTCTTCTTGTACGCACACATATACTGACGGTGTGGAAAAGAATGACAGACGGACTCAAAGACTGACGGACAAACTCAGAGACTGACAGATGTACGGACGGACGAACGGAAAGAAACATATATTGTGTTAATACTTTTCTGGACTCTGGCTCACGATTGTACTGTGAGCAACAATAAATTGCTGTGCGTGGAAAACTCATTCATGGATTTGTTTTAATCATTCGTGTTGACCTCGTTACTACGCCGCACCAAAAGCAGAGACAAATCTGACATCTCCTTCAAGCTCACCGCAAACACGAAACGAGACCACGGGTTAAGAACAATTAATAACACAACGAAAGCTTTAGAACATCACCTGACTATACGATCACATCAACTATCTACACAAACTGAAAAGTAATGCGACCCATTACACTAACTCGGGGTTATATATACGTGGCTATATAAGAGCAAAAAAGTGGGTCCAACAACTCATCACGTTATATTCAAATTCGCGTTAAATTTGGGCGCGTAAAATCGGGGTTATCAGCTGCACGTATCAGCGTAGTTAACATCGAGTAAATTTAAATGACCACGATTTGCTGAATTTATTTTGATGATTTACTGAATTTACTTTCAGGAATAATATTCCAAAACGATCAAAAAATCATACACGTTCATGAATTAAGTAGCAATTAAAAACGTCAAAGAATAGACGACATTAATTAAAAATGATTAAAATAAAACCAGAACGTGTGAAACCTTAAATTGTGCACGATCATTCCAATTAAATGACAGAAGTTTTTTCATCTCGTCGGCTTAGAAGAGCGCTCACGTCACAAATCGCACGTAAATTCCGGTGTTTGCAAATGACGCGTGTAGCTACGTACGGGTTAGCTGCGTGACGTCAGCGGTGGACGACTACAGCCAAGTAGGGGGCGCTGCCGGAGTCTTCTCTTACTGCTCGTGGCAACGCAACAGCACCCCCTATATCGAGCATATTCTCTGTGTCAGTGGCGCCCCCTGTGTCCGCGATAGCGTCGTGCAGTCTTGCGCGTTCGACGGCTAGCTCGAGCAAGAGGCAGACGGTGGCGCCACCTAGCCCCACAGCGAGAAGCAACAGCAGGCTGTGCATGTCTTTGAACGAGAACGACTTAGCGCCAACTACCGGCGGTGGAAACACAAGACATTGGTCAGCGCCCTCTGGCAACGCGTTCCTGCTCCATTCCTTGATGAATCCTCGCTCGTGCAACGTCAGAATGCCGTAGTTAAGCTGCTCCCTGTAAGGAAAGTGCTTGGGCACGGCGAGGCCGCGGTATCCAGGGTAGAAGTTGACATGGGGCACCAGGGTATAGCGACAGTAGCCGTGCTGCATGTAGTCAGTGGCGAAGAACTGGATGGAGAGGGCCTCGTCATTTATGAAGCTGTAACGACCGGACAACACGCGCTCGTACGCCTCCTCTTTTGAATCGACGAATCCTCCGTTGTCCACTACGCGGCGACACAGGCGGCCAAGGTCAGATTCGGGGTCACTAGTGGAGAGCAGTTGCGCTTCTGAATTGTTGCGATAGACAAGTGGTGTCAGTGGACTGGTGGCGGCCTCTTGCAGTGAAGTGAACGGGTAAGGGTTAATGGTTTGTATCGAATGATGGGTGACCAGCGTGGCAGAGTAGGTCGCTGTGATGACCAGAGCAAACAGCCACCACCATCCGACCAGCATCCGTGACGGCATGTCGACAGCATTATACGTTCCGCCCTGCTGCAGCACGGATCCTATCTTGAACATCACGTACCTGTCGAACGACTGCAGCCAGGCTCTGTGTTCCGTTCCCTCTCTCTTCCTTCTGTACATCTCTAAGAAAGTTAGCGTGGTGACACTAGCCAACACATAGCCTAATAAACTAATCCACGTGCTGCTGTGGAACGGGGCGAGTATAGTAAGTGGTGACAAGTCTTTCACTTTCTCCAGGCGGACCAAGAAGCTGTAACGGGACTCGGCGAGTGGATGCAGAAAGCTGACGAATCTCTGCCGGTACTCCGTGATTCGCAGACACGCTGCGACGTCTATCTCTCCCGCAGCCATCCCGGCGACTATGCCGTTAAAGCTGTAGCAGCGTGCCGTCACCGTGTAGGTAAAGTGCATAAACGTAGACAGCTCCGTGAGAATGCGTGACGTCAGAGTGAACTGCTCGTTGATCTTACCATCTTTGTTGCGATTACACGACCACAGCGCCACCTTCAGGTGAACACTGCTGAGGTTGAGCGAGGCGTGGGCGGGCGGGATCTTTACATCATTGCTCATGAGGAACAGCCGCTCGGACGCTCTATCCCGAGGTGAACACAGGCCGAGATCAGCAGCTGATGACCCGTTAGAGGGCGCTGGGGTGAGAGACAGCTGGGCTGCCATGGTGACGGCAACACAGACGCTGGTTACAACGAGAATAACACTCATGGTGATGGCGTCAGTCACGATATATTAACTGCTGTTACGATGTTGCAGTCTAGGTCACGTTGTAGCAGCCTCTGTCACGATATTGCATCCTATGTCACGATGTTGCAACCCCTATCACAATGTAGCAGCCACTGTCACGATGTAGCAACCTCTGTTACGATGTAGCAGCTTCTGTCACGATATAGCAGCCTCTGTCACGATATAGCAACCTCTGGCACGATGTTGCAGCCTATGTCACGATGTAGCAGCCTCGGTCACAATGTAACAGCCTATGTCACGATGTAGCAGCCTCTGTCACGATATATAGCAGCCTCTGTCACGATATATCAACTGCTGTCACGATGTAACAGCCTCTGTCACAATGTAGCAGCCTATGTCATGATATATAGCAGCCTCTGTCACGATATATCAACTGCTGTCACGATGTAACAGCCTCTGTCACAATGTAGCAGCCTATGTCATGATATATCAACTGCTGTCACGATCTAACAGCTTCTGTCACAGTGTAGCAGCCTTTGTCATGATATATAGCAGCATCTGTCACGATATATCAACTAGTGTCACAATATAGCAGTCTCTGTCACAATGTAGCAGCCTCTGTCATGATATATCAACTGCTGTCACGATGTAGCAGCCTATGTCACGATGTAGCAGCCTATGTCACGGTGTAGCCGCCTTTGTCACGATGTAGCAGTCTCTGTCACGATATAGCAGCTTCTGTCACAATGTAGCAGCCTCTGTCACAATGTAGCCGCTTCTGTCACGATGTAGCTGCCTCGGTCCCGATGTACCAGCCTCTGTCACGATGTAATAGCCTCTGTCACGATGTAGGAGCCTCTGTCACGATGTAGCAACCTCTGTCACGATGTAGCAGCCTCTGTCACGATGTAGGCGCCTCTGTCATGATGTAACAGGCGCTGTCACGATATGTCAGCCCCTGCCACGGTGTAGCCGCCTCTGTCACGATGAAGCAGCCTCTGTCACAATATATCAACTGTTGTCACAATATAGCAGCCTTTGTCACGATGTAGCAACCTCTGTCACGATATATCAACTGCTGTCACGGTGTAACAGCCTCTGTCACGATGTAGCAACCTCTGTCACGATGTTGCAGTCTATGTCACGATGTAGCAGCTTCTGTCACGATATATGGCAGCCTCTGTCACGATATATCAACTGCTGTCACGATGTAGCAGCTTCTGTCACGATATAGCAGCCTCTGTCACGATATAGCAACCTCTGGCACGATGTAGCAGCATCTGTCACGATTTAGTAGCCTCTGTCACAATGTTGCAGTCTCTGTCACGATGTAACAGCCTCTGTCACGATTTATCAGCCTCTGTCACGATATATAACAGTCTCTGTCACAATATATCAACTGCTGTCACGATGTAGCAGCCTCTGTCACGATGTAGCAGCCTCTGTCACGATGTAGCAGCCTCTGTCACGATGTAGCAGCCTCTGTCACTATGTTACAGCCTCTATAACGATGTAGCAGCCTCTATCACGATGTAGCAGCCTCTATCACGATATAGCAACCTCTGTCACGATGTAGCAGTCTCTGTCACGATGTAACAGCCTCTGTCACGATGTAGCAGCCTTTGTAAAAATGTAGCAGCCTCTGACACGATGTAGCAGCTTCTGTCACGATGTAGCAGCCTCTGTCACGATGGTTTTAGGACAAATACTCCCCGGCCAATCACTCCCCGGACAATTACCCCAGGACAATTACCCCCCGGGCAATTACCCCATGCCATTTACCCCCCATGCCATTTACCTCCCGGACAATTACCCCCCGGACATTTACCCCAGGTCATTTGCCCCCAGGACAATTACCCCATCGGACATTTACCCCCAAACAATTACCCTCGGACATTTACCCCCCGGACAATTACCCCCATGCCATTTACCCCCTGCCATTCACCCCCCGGACAATCACCCCCTGACATTTACCCCCCGGACATTTACCCTCAGGACATTTACCCCCCGGACAATTACTCAATTGTTGTTTATTATTTATTGTTGAACAGTGATACAGGGAGGAGGTCGAAGGCGAAGGAAGAAGTTAGTGGAGGAGGAGGGGAGAAGGTGGTGAGAAGGTGGTAGAGGAGGAGGAGGGGGTGAAGACAGAGGAGGAGGAGGAGGAGGGGGGGGGTGGGTGGAGAAGGAGAAGGAGAGGAGGAGAAAGAGGAGGGAGGAGGTAGCGGAGGGCCAGGTGGTGAAGGAGGGGAGAAGGTGGTGGAAGAGGAGGAGAAGGAGGAGGAGGAGGAGGAGGAGGAGGAAGAGGAGATAAGCTAGATAAGGAGAGGAGAAGAGGAGAGGAGAGGAGGAGGAGAGGAGGTGGAGGAGGGCGGAGGTAGAGGAGGGCGCCTCTACCTCCTCTACCTCATCCACTCCCCTCCTCCTCTTCCTCCACCGTCTCCCCACCTTCTCCGCTCCTCCTCCACCTCCTCTTCTCATTCTCCTCCTCCTCCACCTCCACCTCTTCTCCTCCTCCCCCTCCTTCTCCTCTACCCCCTTCTCCCCTCCTCCTCCACCACCTGGCCCTCCGCTCCCTCCTCCAATCTCTACCTCCTCCTCCACCACCTTCTACCGATGTTCTCCCCCTCATCTTCCTCCACCTCCTCTCCTCCTCTTCTCCTCTCCTCCTCTCCCCCTCTTCTCCTCCTCTCCACCTTTTACCCTCCCCCTCCTCTTCCACCTTTCTTTTTTCTCCTCCTCCACCACCTTCTCCTCACGTTCTCCTCCTCCTCCTCCTCCTCCTCCTCCTCCTCCACCTCCTCCTCCTACTCCACCTTCTCCCCCTTCCTCCTCCACCACCATCTCCCCATGTTCTCCCCTTCCTCCTCCTCCTCCTCCTCCACTTTCTCTCTTCCTGTCCTCCTCTCCTCCTTCTCCTCCCCCTTTTCCACCCTCCTCCTCCTCCTCCCCCACATTCTCCCCTCTCTTCCTCCTCCACCTCCTCTACCTCCTCTCCTCCTCTCCTCCTCTCCTCTCTCCTGCTTCTCCTTCACCTTTTTCCCCCTCCTCCTGCTCTTCCACCTTCTCCCCTCCTCCTCTACCACCTTCTCCCCACGTTCTCTCCCTCCTCCTCCTCCACTCCCTCTCCTTCTCCTCCTCCTCCTCCTCCTCCTCCTCCTCCTCCACCTCCTCTCCTCCTCTCCTCCTCTCCTTCTCATCCTCCACCTTCTCCCCCTCCTCCTCCGCCTCCTCCTCCACCTTCTCCCCCCTCTTCTTCCTACGCCACGTTCTCCCCACGTTCTCCCTCTCCTCCTTCTCCACCTCCTCTCCTCCTCCTCCTTCACCTCCTCTCCTCCTCTCCTCCTCTCCTCCTCCTCCACCACCTTCTCTCCACCTTCTCCCCGCTCCTCATCCACCACCTTCTTCCCTCCTCCTCAACCTCCTGCCTGTATCACTGTTCAACAATGAATAATAAACACCAAATGAGTAATTGTCCGGGGGTGATTGTCCTGGGAATGAATGGCATGGGGGTAAATGTCCGGGAGTAAATGTCCGGTGGGTAATTGTCCGGGGGGTAAATGTCCGGGGGTTAATTGCCGGGGTAAATGTTCCGGGGGTAATTGTCCGCGGGGGTAATTTTCCGGGGGGTAATTGTCCGGGGGTAATTGTCCGAAAGGTAAATGTCGGGGGTAAATGTTCGGGAGGTAAATTTCCGGGGGGTAAATGTCCTGGGGGTAATTGTCCAGTGGATAAATAACCGAGGGAAAATTGACCGGGGGGTAATTGTCCGGGGTAAATGTCTGGTGGGTACTATATTTTTTCCGGGGGATAAAATGTCCGGGGGGAATTTTCCGGCGGGTAAATGTCCGGGGTAATTGTCCGGGGGTAAATGTCCGGGGTAATTGTCCGGGGGGTAATTGTCCAGAGGTAAATGTCGCGGGGGGTATTGTCCCGGGGTGGTAAATGTCAAGCGGTAATTGTCCGGGGGTAATTGGTCCGGGGGTGAATAGCAGGCGGGTAATGCGCATGGGGGTAATTTCGCCGGAGCGTAACTTGTCCGAGGGTAATTGTCCGGGCGGTGATTGTCGCCGAGGGTATTTGTCCTGATACCTGTCACGAAATAATACAACCTCTGTCACGATGTAGCAGCTCTGTCACGATGTAGCAGCCTCTGTCACGATGCAGCAGCCTCTGTCACGATAGTAGGCAGCCTCTGTAAAAATAGTAGGCATGCCTCTGTAACATGTAGCAGCCTCTGTCCAAATGTAGGCGCCTTCTGTAAAAATGTAGCAAGCCTCTGTAACCATGGTAGCAGCTCTGTCACGATGTTAGCAGCCTCTGTCACGATATAGCAACCTCTGTCACAATTTAGCAGCCTCTGTCACGATGTAGCAGCCTCTGTTAAAATTTAGCAGCCTCTGTAACGATGTAGCAGCCTCTGTCACAATGTAGCAGCCTCTGTAAAAATGTAGCAGCCTCTGTAACGATGTAGCAGCCTCTGTCACGATGTAGCAGCCTCTGTCACGATATAGCAACCTCTGTCACAATTTAGCAGCCTCTGTCACGATGTAGCACCCTCTGTTACGATGTAGCAGCCTGCTAG